TTCAGATATTTTATGTAAGAATAGTTTCTTAAAGATATCTGTATGTAAAAGATATTTGATAATTTCTTTTTTTGCCATTTGCAAAAAGTTAAGTTAGACTTTTCAATTTCAATGTCGTAATGTTCATTCATTTTCCCCTATAATCTATATTATAATGCAAGATTAATTTTCATTAACCCCCCAAAATCAATACCTGCCGACTTTTCATCATGATGACGTCTAAAAGAAAACTTGCCAACCTTCTAAAACTTCCACCGACATCTTTAAAAAAGATTATTCTAAAGATAAACAGTGACTTCTAAAGTTTATGCACACTTGCCAGCCAGCTTACGTCAAACTTTTCCTTTCAAATCGCTATTTTGATAGCAATCGCCTTGAGTTCAACCCAGGTATGCTTGTGGCATTGTTATAAATCCAAACCTACTCTAAACTCGAACAATAAAAGCCACTTTCAAACTTTCTTTTCTTAACTTCCTTCGGGAGTAATCCTTTCAAGGGCCTCTACATTTTTTTTCTTATTTTTTTTTCCTTCTATTTTTATAAAGGGTGCTTCCCTGATGTGATTGTTTTTACTCCAACAGGAAGTATGGAATTATTTTTGTTGTATGATGTTACAGTTTTGTCTTCACATTTTCTTTTGTAGCGTGTTAATAACATCCGGTACTATAGGGTATGGGAAAGGGGGAGTAGGTAATTTTCCTGGGGGGACAACAGGTGGGTGATATAATTGTTGTGCAACCTAGGAAACAACATGAACTTGTGATGCAAGGGAGAGTATCAAGGGCCCCAACTTACCATGGAAAAATGTCATTGCAAAAACAGGAAGGTGAAAATTAATGATTTCATGACCAGTATTATGATACTTTTCCATCAATAGTTTGATTTCTTTAAAATCTTTAGAAAAAATGCTGAACATAATGTCCTTAAAATAAGTTATCTGGTGAGTGTGATCCTTAACATAAATAAATGTTTATCTCTCTTGCAATACTCCTCTGTCTTTCTCTTTCTTTCTTTCATTTATACTTTCCCACCATTTTTTAAAATAAATTGGTTGCTTTATTGACACAAGACTCTGATGCTAGTGCATTTAATAATTTATTCATTTCATCCTTCTTTGTCATTCTCTTTTCTTGTCTTTCTATTCATGACTGTTTCTTTAGGTCTCCTTCTCCTTAAATACATGGCCATGTCATCTTTTTATTCTATCTCCCTTCCATTGTTCTTCAAAATCTTCTCATATCAATTCATCACATTCTTGCTACGTCACACAAACATCAGACAAATTCTCCTCTCTGCATGATGTGTCGCCATATCAATAGTTATAAACTAGGAAAATGAGACCTCGTTATGTCACGATAACACAACATATCAAGTATATCAGGTAAACCATCGGGAGCTCAGCGTCCAGCATTGTCATCATGACTTTTATCTTGTGAGAGCCAGAAAGGAGTAACTTATCTCACTTTACACCGAATTAAAACCCTTCTGGTTCTCATCAAAGTACTCAGTCTGGTAGAGTCTGAAATGCCAGTCTCAACAGGCGTACTTCCTCCTCTGCAGGTGTGGGCGGCTCTTGACATGCTTTGTGTTTTCTTCTACCTTGGACTCAAATAAACTTCTTCATGGGAGGAGATAGAAAGAATCTCAAGAAAACATAGAAAACTGCCCAAATAACTATCCTCCTCGTGATCTATTACTGTCTATATATAGTGCTTACATGTGATTCATCTGTTGCAATAGTGTACATTGAGCATTTGTTGTTAATCAACTTGGAAGGACAGGTATTATAATGTACATGTATAAGCCGGCCAAATAATTACTTTTTGGTGCGTTTATATCATGATGTACAACAAATAAAACAAAATAATCCATGATATGGTATGCATGAAAGCTTTATTTAATTTCCCATGTATTTGTAACTTATAATTTGTACAGTGCCCCTCAAGAAAACAGTTTTAATACTGAGAGAGTTACCCTGTTTAAAGGTAATACAAAATGTTGGTATTTGGTAATATTCAGAGATCGTTGTCACGGTTGAAATCAAGTCTAAAGTTATGAAATGGTAAATAATAAACTCTTTACGATGTATAGCTCCCTCTCAAGGTCAAGATATTAATTAAGCTATAAAAAAATGTTTAACTAAAATCGACCGATTAGCTATTTCCATTTAGAAATTCATGGTCGCAGCTACCATTGTACGGCCGTAGGCACTAATTGAAATTTATCAAAATTTACAGGTAACGCCGGTAAATTTTTATAATCAATTTTTCTCGAAAGCAGAAGTGTTTTAGGGGCTAAATTGTCTAGTGCCCATAATACATCCACATGGGCATCCAAATATATCAATAATGTAAAGATTCACTATCCACCCAATTTTCAAAATTTCCAGAAAACTTTGTATTACCTTTAAATAAAATGAATAATTTGATTAAAGATGAAGTTGAGTTCTGGTCATGCGATTGCATTGTGAAAGAAACGGTGTGGAATCGACCAGAAAAGATTTATCCTCTAGCATATAAGAATTTGTGTGTATTGCAAGGTTCTGGAATCATCAGAATGATAAGAAATTGGCCAAGTCTTGATAAAGTTACAAACACTGTACACAAAAAGATGTATATGGGACTACACGAACACGTGGCGTAAAAAACCTACCCCCCCCCCCCCCCCCCCGAGTTTTACGATGTACATGACATATTTAGAATATGAAGGCATTTGAAGAGCCATGCTTTTCAGGGAACATGTCTTATCTGATGTTCTTCCACACTTGCATTATAAGAATGATAACGCTCACAAACTATTTTTCACCTCTTCTCAGAACTCAACCTTCTCTTTAAAGTGGTGCCTTACAAATGTTATATGCTATCATTATCATTTCTAGTTTTATGCACTCTGTAGTAACCATTAGTTCAGAGCCAGAAGGGTGTTAGCTCTCTGTAGAAAGTATAAGAGTTGACAACCCTCAGCAGACGATTCTTACAGATATGTTTTTATTTTTCTCTAATGCAAACTAGATGTAGATATTTCAAGGTCAAGTGGTGCCAACACTTGTCTGGAGACGTGAAGGTCATCACGACTTTCTTGCAGATTGTCTGTCAATTTAAAACAAGTCTGTTACTTTTACACACACACTCGCTAAGAATAGCAACAAAATAAACAAATTTTGCATGCAAGAATGTGGATGAATGCTTTTGGGATTTTAAACAGTCACTAGGACATTATTTTTTGCTCTTTTTACAATAAAAACATGAGGAAATTATTTCTGTGGAAAAATATGTTTTTCACGAGTAGGGCAAAGTTTGTTTTCACACGTACACATCGAGTACTTATCTAATCATACCAGGGTAATATTATGCCACTCTAGGTCTAAAGACGATAAAAATGCTCTTGACCCGCTTCTCGTTACCTTGACAACCCTATCAACAAACTTTCAACGGGCCCTGGGGCTGCGGTATACGTAGATGTTGTGAAGTGCATCCTCTGTCCTGGCAGCTACACAAATTTTGTTGTTTTGCTAGAATTGAATGAGATATTAAGCTGTCATGTGATGCCAGTCTACTAAAGCTTTGCAAAGTCATTTTGAAACTGGAGACTTCGCAGGAAACCGTCTAGGGATTGGGTCTCTTTCATGTTGCCTTGAGTTGTTTGTTGATATGTTTTGGTTTATTAGACATTAATAACTTGGAATATGTGCCTTGACTCTTTGACATTAGTCGTATTATTGTCATCCAATACTAGAATGTTCCTATTCTATTGTTTTATTTTGATTGCTGAAAAGCATTATTTATGTGCGGGCTGACTATCTAGGCCGTCAGCCCCCTCTCCCTCAATATCAATATTTATGGTATCTCATACACATCATATCTCATGATTCATGCACATATATGAGGCATCGTAAAATTATCAGACATACAGAAATATGTTATTTAATGTTGTCCAGTATCAAGCTGGTGTGAGGATATAAACATGTAGAGTTTATTACCGTCTGCTTGTCCAGATTGAAAGCCTTTGATGACCATTACTACCAGAAATCATTTCTTGGAGATGATTGCAGAAGTTAATATAGAATCTGGATTTGTAATTATAGCTCTTCATATGAAATACCGTCTCTAAGCACTTTACAGATATTATTACCCCGATCCATTCACACACAATGTGCACCATTTAAAACTCCCTGGGAAGTATTCCTACTGTATCGGTCGCCGTGAGGGCATATATGGCAATTACTAACACAAAGGATTTGGTCATCCTACCAGAGGAGTATTTCAAAAAGACTAAGATTGACTTTAAGTTGAACTTAACTACGGCAGGCTGTTTATGCCACTGTTTGCTCTCACCATTTACTGGCATTGGTTTCTCAAGGGAAGTACAAATCATGGTCACAAATCTACAGAATTTACCTTTTTTGATAGTTCATTATTGAAGAAAAAATATTATCTAAAGATCATAATTGAGAGACCACTGGTGGGAGCAACCAGTGGCATGAACAGCCTTCGATAGTTAAGTCCAACTTAAAATCGATCTTAGTCTTTATGAAACACCCCCCAGGCCTCATTTCTCTCCTGGGTATGGATTGCCAAATGCAGAGTAATGTCTTGCCAAAGGACATTAGTGCCATGTCAGGGATAGAACTCACAACATTTGCATTGCAAGTCAAGTGCTTAAACCACCTCCAAAACACTTATATATTGCTTCAAATAATCAAAGGATCATTCCACTCACAAACATGATCTAAAGCATACACATATCAGTAGAGGGGAAACTTGTGAGAGTCCCATAGCCATTTTCACACATATCCTTCTTTACCCCCTTGCCAAACAGCTGATTACCCCCGTCTCCTTCCTCGCATCACATGGGAGGAAAACCCAAACTTCCTGGCATTCTTTTTAGGAGCGCACCCATCCCCCCTCTTAATCCCTTTCTCCCATCCCTAATCAAGATTTCACATTCCCCCGAATGAGACGCATGAATGCGGCACCTCAATGTTTCAGAAGATTACTTACTTGGCTCAAGTTGTCACAGCGATGCAGGAGGGGGAACCTTCCACAGACAGATCCTGCTTCGGAGATTGCGTACGGTTACCGTGGCAACAGACGATTTGGTACATCACCACCTCCTTGTGTCTTGGTTTGGTTTCAGACGAGGATGTTACTCATCAAGGGATACAAAGGGCCTGGCAGAGACAAGACAGAAACATGGTTTAGATTTTGGGCAAAGAATAATGTCTATTGAGAGGAAACGAGTAAGGGGGCGATGACTGGGACATATACAATGCACCCCTCCCCCCCCCCCCCAATCATTCCTCTCCCCCTCTCCCTGTCTGTCTGTCTCACTCTCTCTCTCTCTCTCTCTCTCTCTCTCTATCCCTCTCCCTTTGTCTGTCTGTCTGTATGTCTGTCAGTCTGTCCATCTATCTGTCTGTCTGCCATCTCTGTCTCTCTCTTTCTCTTTCTTTCCTTCTCTTCATTCTCCCATTGTTAGTCTGTTTATTTGTGAATATCTCTCCGTTTCACTAAAAGTATGCCTCTTCTCCTACTTCTCTCTCCCTCCCGTCTCCCTCCCCCCCCCCCCTCTTTCTCTCTCTCTCTCTCTCTCTCTCTCTCTCTATCTATATTTCTGAAATAGCGATTCCAAAATCCGCCCTTTTCTCTCTTTGTTTTCATGTTTTTCAACTTCTTCCCTTATCCTTTATTTTCCCTATTTTCATCACATTTTTGCTTCATCACATACATGTATCACACAACTTCTCTTCTCAGCATACTGTATGTCATTATCAATAATAAAACACAAGGAAAATGAGACCCAGTTATGTCACGACAAGATAATATCAAGTATACTATCGGGAGCTGAGCTCTCTAATTCTCTGGCATTTCATGTGGCACCATTTCTTAATATTTCTCAATATCTTAGGTGACAGAAATGGGACAACTTAACCAAATGCAAGCTGCTTTACTTAAAACAATAATGAGTAAAGCGTGGCAATCACAAATGACAGTCTGGGGAAAACCGGTTTCGATAAGTCTCATAAGTTTCATGTTCCTGCCAATTTAATGTTCTTTTATTGAAGTCTTCCTCTGCCAAACAATGCCATTCTTAGAAAGTTATGATGTTATCCCAAACTTATCTACAAACAAACTTTAGCTTGGAACCTTACTTTCTTATACTATTTAACAGAAAACAATGACTTCCAAGGAATCACATAATGGCACTTTCAATACTCTATTGTTTTGGCTGATTGTAGAAATCAAGTTTGGATTACAAAATATGTCTGTCAATGTAATATTTGCACATTACAAAAGGTGCTATTGAAATTACCTATCAAGTTAATTATTTGTTGTCTTTGCAATCCTGTTTCTTTCTTCTTTTTCTCAATATCATCTGCTTAGTCAAATCTAGCAAAATTGTTTGAAAATACCAAATACATGTACATGTAAGCCTATTCTCATTCTCAATCAAAAGTCACATGACTTCCTAAAACAAGAGGTTACTTTAATTCAAAAAGAGAAAATGCAATAATTGAAATATGATGCAAATTCAACTAGGATCTGTGCTTTGGTTAAGAAGATGCTCGAGGAGAAAGGGCGTTCATCTGGAAACCCTGCTGATAAAAATGAAACTGTAACTGTCATCTTCCATGGTATTCATTAAGTGCAAAACATGAGTTATTCTTCTTTCTTTTTTTTTAAACAGTGAAAATTAGTGACAGATTTTTGACTGATTTTAACCAGACGTTGGGATGAGAGCTAGCAAGGGAGGAAATGTCACTGCATCATTTCCCCCTCCTTCTCTTCCCTTCTCCTCCGAGCGGCTATTCCATTTTGTGAAACCTAGCTACCCTTGGAAAGGATGCTCTCATCTTACATTGTCCAGATGACTATCCCCCTGTCCACACACAACATTTTCCATGATTAGGCGTGATTAGCTACCGGTATACCGTTTCGCGATAGTGATACCGTTTCGCGATAGTTTTTACGATGAAAATTGTGTGTGTGGACGCTCACTAACGATACGTTGTATAACGAAACTAATCTAATGAAACGCAGGTTTGGGCATCGTTTCGAACTGAAACTCAATAAAGAATCACGCCTAATCACGCCTAATCACGCCTAATCACGCCTAATCACGGAAAATGTTGTGTGTGGACAGGGGGAGTGTAACTAGTGTAACTAACTGGGCAGGGCTTAACGTGACCTCGAGCGAAAGGAGACTACACCACTCATTTTCGCTTCCATTTCATGACCGCAGAAGCAAACTGCGCACCTATACGACATTGCGCTGTAGAGTTTCAGGATTACTTTCTTCTGTGTGTGGACATCCTGGAATTTTTACGATGATTATTTATACAACGTTTCTTGTGTGTGAACACTATGAAATTTATACGATGATTCTTTGACGACGTTTCGTTATAGAGTTTCGGGATAAATTGTTTTGTGTGTGGACATGCTGTTCATATGGTCTGTTCAGAGCCAGAAGGGCATTAATTATGTGTCAGGTGATATGAGTTAATGTCCTTCTGGCTCGAAAAAGATGATTTAACGTCAAGTGTGCTCTTGAGAACATCTTAAAGCCCATCTGTACTTGATTACAGGAGGGATTAGACCACCCTGCAAGGTCACTGGACAGGTGGTTATCTCATCAAATCAGCTCTCAGTTAACACAAGAAAAAGAGGATCATGGGGGACCAATGGTCACCAATCCCTCTATATAGAGGGAGCAAGTAGCTACAAGTTGTACAGTGGAGCTTTGAAAACAGGAATGACAGTGAATAGCTTGCAAAATGAAAAGATTAGAATGGATTGAAAGACATATGTTGCTAATATGAACAATTTTTAAAAATATCTTCTTTGTTTCTTTGCCTCTCAGGAGTTTAATACGAATAAAACAATTTGTCAGCAATAATGGTTCTACAATCACATGTTACAATATTGAATTTATATTTGATGAATTTTCAGGCAAAAAAAAATTATGTGATGCAACTAAGTGCTTTAAGAGTATTATCTAAGACAATCATTGGCATTGGCACATTCAACGTCATACTGTGTGCTAATGACGTCATCCATGTTGTAGAAAAGTAATCTTAACCTAACACATCCCTAGCAACTGCATCACTAGGCCAATTCATTTTTAACATGCAACATTAAAGTATATTCTTTGCAAATTATACTCCTGAAATGCCTAAATGATCTCAAATACTTTAAGAAAAACTAATTCGAATACCCAAAATCACCATTTGGTCATTTTTTGCAATTTTCATAAACTTAGATATATATTATTAAAAAATGAAAAACAATCGGACTAAAAAAATTTAAGAAACTGAACATCTTAAAGAGCCGTCACGCGGGAAACTCACAGATAAAAATACCTTCATGAACTTGGGTCTATTGCATCTACGACCAAAATACGCAATCAGAAATACCATCAACAAGCAAAGGGAAAGAAAGATAACTTCAGGTATATATAGATCTAGGTTCAGGAAGACCTGTAAATTGCAGAGGGAGACAAGATGTAGAGAGGCTGAATGGAAGTACTAATCTCTAATCCTTGGCCGTGAACTCCAAAATGAGTGAAACAAAATGGAGAAGAAATTATGAGGAGCCTTGAACAAATTGACAAACTCTGAAAATTATGTCCTTCCCTATCTTATAGAGAGGAGGTGTTGAAAGCTAGGTGCATGATAGTCTCAAATTGCAGTCATTTCTTACTGATAGCCTTTTAAGTTAATACCTTTACAGCAGTTAAAGAATCTAACACGTACAGAGAACTGTACCACTAAAGTTGTGTATATAATGAATACACAATTATAATCAAATAAAGAAACATTTTAACTTTAAGGGAAGAGCATGATTATGTAATTTTCTTAAAAGATGCACTGTTTGAACAGTGAGTCAACCCTGATTCTTCAATAAGATCTTATAAGAAGCGATATCCAAAACCTAATTTTTTCTTTATAAAGTATTACTATACAAGGCTTGCATTCCTTCACTTAGTTATTATGAATCATTTTTTATACTTAATTATCATCAAACGTTTTCATACATTGTAACTTAAAGCATAATAATAATAATATAATAATACAGCATTTATTATGCGCCAACAATCTAGTAAACTATTCTGAGGCGCAGAGGGATAGAATTAGAATGAGATACATAGAGAAATGAGAAGGGGGGGGGGGGGTGGAAATAATAATCATATCATACAAAACGTATTATTTCTCCACAGGGTTACTTTAATATATGTTCAATCTACCAATGAAGTCTACATTCTTTGTTAGGGGTGGAGGAAATAGTTCCAATCCATCTCAATCAAAAAAATTAAATTCGATAATTTCAAAGTTTCTTTCACTTGATTTACTGACTTTATTTATGACAGGAGCAGGATAAATAGGGTCTGTATTCTCACACTATAACAGCATCAGGTAAGGATAAACATTTGAACGAGTTTTTACAAAAATGAAATCCTTTTTCCCCTCGGTGGGAAGTATGCTCTCAAGATGAACCAACAAGATATAGGCTGTTAATGATTGCATTCACACACAGATAGATCTATGTTTTATTTATTTAAGAGAACATTTAATGGTACAATGTAAAACATACAGCTAACAAAAAATCAACATGTCAGAATCAATGTCAGAATCAAAATCAGAATCAATAATTCAAAGTTTAAAAGAAGTGTTTCTTTTGTTTAAATTCAAATAAAACCTTACAACTCAGAATCAACTACTTCTCCATTTTATTTATGACCCCAAAAAGGAATTGTCAGCAGTGCTCTTTATTCTTCATTTCACATGTTAGAAATGGCTATATTGGGGAGCAGTTGGAAAGGTGATAGAACTATTTCACACCTCTTAAACACATATTAACCCAGTAATAATAGACCTGACTTGAGAGAAAAAATGTTAAATCATTTTTTTTTATTTAGTGTGAACAACTTTCATAGGATATCTTCCATTGATGCGGACCTGCACCTTAGAGACTAAATATTCCCTCTCCAAACAGTCCAGGGACGAAAACAGCGCTGGTTAATTGGGCGTTATTTTTAATCTCGCCGTTTATGGAATGAAAATATCACGTGGGGAGAGGACTTGCGACAATCCGTCGGACTGGATGACTTAATTCTGACTTTATTAATATCACCCCGGTCTAGGATGTTTCTGTTTTGATTCAAAAGGAGATGGGGAAATATCGAGAGGAGGGGAGGGA